TCTCCTACCTCTTGTGGAAGATCAATGCCATCCTCAGTTCCTATATTTCTGAAGTATTTTTGGAAAAATTCAGTAGGCTTCAAGAAAACGTGTTGCCACATTCTTATTACATTGTAAAATCAAAGACCATATTAATTTAGGATTAGGTGGCTAAAAACCACAGAAAAAGCACAAAGTCTTATACATTAATTACAATATGGCCAAGTTTGCCCTTTGCCTGTTGTGTCTAGAGCCACATAAACAAAGGCTGAAAGGTTCAATCTTCTTTCCCACAAAGTTTCTAGAGCTAGCTTTCAGCAGATGTATGAGCACCGGGTACAGGACAGTGAACACTTCCACCCAGAGCTAGCTTTCAGCAGATGTATGAGCACCAGGTACAGGAGAGTGAACACATAAGATCATAGATGGTCACATAGCCAACGAAAAGCAGGTAACCATCAGCCCGCTAACTTCTCAATGTTGACCACTTGTAATTCCCTTTAAACAGATGGTATATATTTTTTCCTGTGGGAAAGTAAGAATAAAAGTTCTTGTGCAAATTTCTAGCAAAGCAAAATCATGAGGGTGGACTAGGCCTGATTTTATTGCAGTGAAGTATCTGACACGACCATAAATGCTGTAGTATTACATCCATATTAAAAAGTCTTTCAAGGGACTGCAACATGATGGACTGTCATCATGAAGCTATGCATGTGGGAAGTAGAAAGTGTGTGGCACACTAAGATGGAAAGCATATGGATAGAAAACAGATTTAATGGAAAATATTTGCTGGGGGAGATTAAGAGAACTGATTTTGACATTAAAAAGTAGGATTTAAGTTGTAAGGCCCCATGTGAATTCAGAATAAGCTTCTCCTCTCTATAACGCAAAAGGGAGAAAGCTTCCTTGCTTCCAGTCTTACAGTAGTCAGACCCATCCTGGGAATGACATTTAGTCTTGCTAGATAAACTTTATTGAAGTACATTTATTTTTTGTTAGCTTTATTTTGTTCAGTAAAGGTTTTCTGCAAAAGTCTGGAGGATTTTCAAATCTTCAAGACTAAGTATGAGCAATCTGGAAATTACTGCTACTTGTACAGAGAGTTTATACCAGCTGTTTTCAACTGGAGAGCAGATTGCAGTAAAATCTCCAACAGTGCTCATAATCTCAAAAGCGAGCACAAAATAATCACTCACCTGTCCTTCCTGTTCCCAGGAAAAAGCCTGGAGACAAGGGGAAAACAGGAAAAAAGAACTGCAGTAGGAGGGGAAACAATCTGTATGTAGCTATCAAAAGCAGAAGGGAGACATCAAGAAGAGGCATTTGCCCAGTAAAAGAAAGGATTCCAATGTAACAAATAAAGGGAAAAGTGAAAAACAGCTGTAGCTGGAGTGAAAAACAAAAAGATATTCAGTCACTATCTTTATAAAAGACTCAGGTTTCAATATGAAGGAAATTCTTCAAGGAAATGCCTACACTGTACATGACAGTTCAGTGAAGAGGTGCCCTGAATCACCTATGTGATCAAATGCGCTTTAGAAATACTAGTCCTTTAAGAGAGAAGACCACTCCTAATAGAATGGATTTATTTACTTACACACATTTCTCAAAGTGATCCATACAGGAATCCAAGATCCTGAGCAACGGAATCACAGTATCCAAGTTAGCTCACACAGGATGGCTGATGTAGACGTCAGGCTCACTCATCCTGCCAGCAAGGCATTGCGCCCACACACCTCATGGGACCACAAATGATAGCAAAATAGAAAAGACCAGCAAAACAAACTCCATCAGTGGCAAGAACAACTTAAACTGGAATAACAGGAACAAGGCATGCAGTGGGGACAGGAGGAAGAAGTTTCGGGTACTGAGGCAAAAAGGGGCTAGAATAAAGCTTTCTGTATATTACAAAAATCAAAGTGTAAAAAACTGTCAATGTCACTGATTGTTAGGCATTAAGACAAAACTTAACTTCAAGTGTGGAGTGTTCATTATGTGACCACATTGCTATTCCACTAGGAAGGGTGAATCTTGCATTACTAATCCTGAAATTATAACTCAGCCATTATTCTTGTCACACTCTTAACATCATTCTTGTCACTCTTAACATTATTCTTGTCACTCTCTTCAGACCTGAAGCACTAATTTTCCACATCAAAACGTTTTAATAGATGATGCATTACTGGAAAAGATGAAAGAATATAACTTGTATTAAAGAAAACAATATTTTAATAAGCTCTAAATGATAATTAGTCAAAAGTACTTTTAAACAACTGTCATGTAAGATCTATATCTGATTATTCTCTGAGTAATTGGGGTTTTTGTTGTTGTTGTTGTTAAAGAAACAGAAAAAATACCTATAATTCTCTTAGTGCAAGTAGCAAACTTTAGCAAACATACATGGGATGTTCCTAACTCCCGACCCCCAAATTTCCTTTATAAGTATACCTTTAATCAGATAAAGCAATCCTATTCAGAATTACAACATACTTCAGAATTACTGGGGATTATATTCACAAAGTGATCTTGTTATTTGATGCCTTTGACTATTGTAATAATCCAGAAAAATTGATGTTTTTCATGTTAACTGAGAAACCTTGATTAAAGAGGAAAGGATAAAGTCAAAAGGTATAATTGATGGATGCTTTCCTTTGTTTTCTGTCCATACACATGAATTCATAACTTAGTGGCCACGTAACATATAGTCAGAATCAGTTCAGTCTTAGTACTGTTCAGAAAGGACATGACCTGAAAATATTATAGATACAGTTGTTTATGCCTCATAGCATTAGCTAGAAATACTGGACTATAAAATGTGGAACTTTTATTGTATGTGTTCAAATATAAATCAAAAAATCAATGTTAAAGAAATCCAATAAAATTTCTTTAGATTGTAACATCTTTCACAGCAGAATGAAAACAAAACAAAAACATACGGCCAATTACCCTTGTGAATTATCATGTGCAGAAAATAGATGGTAAAGAGACCCTATAATAGGAAAAATTGGCTGGATCTCTTTTAAAGGTGTCAAAAGAGAATGACAAGAGCTTTCTTTGTTTTTACAGTTCTACCTCAATCCACCAAGCTTTCCAGTCTCACTCCAGGCCCCTATCAACGAATGTTGTTGAAATTAGTCCATTTAAAAGCTAGGTTGAGCCATTTTCACATTGACTTACATAAAGCCATTTTTCTATTTTATTAGTCACATTAGCATTCTATTGCCCTTTAAATGTCACAAGTTCAAGAGCATAGCTGTGCATATCCTGGAAATATTCCTGTTTGATGTAATAAAACAGAAAGCTACAATTTCCTGGGACAGATAAGGTGACAAAAAAAGAAGGAAATGAACAGGGCATAACAGCATAGAGTAAAACAACAGACAGTACAGCTAGAATGTTTCCAAGTGAAGAAGGAGCATGAGTATCACTGGGAGCAGAGATTTAGAAAGGCTTGTTTGCTTTTTCTCTATCAAAACAGCTGATGAACTCGCCATTGGCTCTAGCTTACAGAAAGGAAGAAAAATGACACTGCAATCTCTTCAGACATATTCCCTAAGCTATTAGGTACATTTGCAAAGCCAAATTGTACATTGTGACTACTCTCATTTATTAGTGGTGATTTATTTCAAAGCAGAAACTTGCAAAATTCCCTGGCTGCATGTTATCTAACCTAAAACATTGTCAGGGTTATCAAGGGCAACGTGAAAATCATAAACTGGTTGGAAAGAGTTCTTGAAGATCAAATGAATTCTGTAGTCAGCAGGATCTGACCTACCATCATCTTCTGTCAAAGGCAGTGGAGGGGCTTTAAAAACAAAATAAAATAAAATAAAAATAAATGAAAAGGAGAAATCTAGAAGTGTGCTAAAGAGAATATACAAGACAGTGAAAAATAGTACAGTGAAACCAAAGTAGTTAACCTTATACTGTGAACTTGTCATTTTGGAACTCCACTACGTTATTGGAGCTGCATTATGACTCCCCTGGTTTAAGCACTAAGGCAGCCAAGCCTGCAGCTAACTGCAGTTTAGTGCTTAGAACAGGGTACCTGTGGCTTGAAAACACCACCTGAATCACTAAGTCCAGTGAGCGACACAGGAAAGCAATGTACAATGAAAGTTTTTACCAAAACTACCATGAAAACAAATTTCCTACATGTTTCCTACAGCCCACACTACACCACCAACCACCTCCTGGCTCATTATTGTGGCTTTTGAACATCTACTGCAAGAGGCTACAGGAAGACACAACTCTTTTTCTGTTTCCAAGTGTCACAGGTCCCCACAATTACAACCAACTTGCTAGATAAAGTTATCAAAATACCTTAAGAAGAAAGTATGTCCCATGGTACAAAGAACAGCAAACTCTTCCTCCCCTCTCCCTTCCCTTCACTCCAGAAATTCCTGCCAAGCTCATTGAGGAAAAAGCCACATACACCCAGAAAGACACAGGCAACATGAGGACTTATAAATCTACATAACCACTCAACAGGCACATTTTTAAACTTTGTTACAACCCTGTCATGGCACCAGCAAACTCATGGTGGCTGCAGTGCTCTCCATCTCCCATAGCACAAATGAAAATCTACTCCTTTGTCAGGGTGCCACAGGCGCCAGTGGTTCCCTTGTGGCTGGGCCATTGGGGCAGGTCCCAGTCCTGTGACACAGCCCTTCACCAAGCAGAGGCAGATACCCCGGTACCCTTGGTCTTGTCAAGACCCCTGCGAGCTAAAACCTCCAAGGTGACATTGGTGCAGCCTCTGTGCCACAACCATGCAGTAGTTCCCTGCTCAGCCCCTTCAAGGATGGGGCACACAGATGTCCTCCTGTGAGAACTTCATCTGGCAATTCTCCCAGATTTGGGAGGTGGAGGGAGACAGGGGGTGAGGAGAGCTGCTGCAATACCATTGCTCAGAAATCCTGCACCTGTGGATATAGCTGCCTTCTCCAGCACAACCTGCATGGTATTTGCTTCCCACTGAACCTGACAGCAGACAGGTGGCTGACAGTCTAAAGATCCACCTACAACTCTAGCAGCACGGGGATGCCAGCAAAGGAGTACATCCTGCTCCCAGCAACAAGGATGTCTACTCCAATGCAAGCAGGATCTTGTAGTACTTGCTTAGGATTCCTACCTGGTGTTCCAGCTGGCAGGTTGTCACCACACTCCTGAAGGTACAGCAGGGCCCCAGCAAGGCAGAGCCAAACACCCTGTTGGGGGGCATTGCCCAGCTGCTGCGAGACGCCACTGGATGCCACTGCAAGGACTTTGTGCATGTCAAAGTTCCACATATGGCAACAGGCAAAGGAGAAACTCATCTGCCATCGCTGCTGAAGAGCAGCCAACACCAGCCATCCTTGTAGATGTAGTGCACCTTGTAGACCTTGGTGCACAAGACACAAGATGAGTGCTGCTTAAGCAGAAGGCTGTTGATAAGAAAGTAAAGACTGCAGACAGCTGCATAAGAATGCCGAGGCACGGGGCTCTTTCCGTGCCCGACAAAGAAATGTAGCAGTCCCCAGGAGGATGAATGAAAGAAGCCACTTGGGGAAAGGGATTTCTCTGACCCAGCAGGAGTTCAAACCTCCATGCCTAAATTTGGCCCTGGGAACAAGAGCCTCAACACTGTATTTAGGCAGCCCAAGTGAGCAGACCATCTGGAAACTATTGTGTATCAACTTGTCACAGTAAATGACGGAGTAGTTCAAGGCTGAAAAACACAACTTCCAGTCACGTCTTCTGTTTTAGAGTGTCCTGATCCATTCCTGGTTTACATATAGCACAGTGCATTTAATGGGTCCAGCACAATCCTGAACAAATACCTGGGCTCAGCTCTTTTGCAAATGCTTCAACTCCAACTTACCAAAAAAATGGATGCAAGTGTCTCCTAAGAAATTATATAAATATTTTCATGCATGACGTCCCTTGGAAAGTCCGTTCTCTTTTCTTGAAGCTATGATGGCTCTTCCTTTGCAGTCTGTCAGGTTTACAACTGGAGTATTAAAAATGTGCTCCCAGGAACTGTTAAATCCACTCGTCAGATGCAGTACAGCAATTCTGGTCAAAGCTGACTGTGCTTCTGGAACTGACAGCCCGCACAATTCATCCTCTGTGATAGACACAGATTGCTTTCTCTGTGAGAGCAGCTCCTCGCTCCAGGGAGAGGAATTTAGGCAGAACTGCATTCAGATATTCTTCCAAGCTATAGAAATCATGCATTGTTTATGCTTCATGTTAAATCAACATGCTAGATAACATCCACCATCTTGTTCCAGAAAACTATTGTTCCACTTACCCATTTGTGCATTCTCACTGCAATAGGACTAAGCATTTCTGACAGGCTTTCATCTCCCTCGTTTACAGTAGGTTTGTTTCTTCTTTATCTAGTTTAAAGAGGTATTTTAAGATCGTCCATACTGAAGTACACTAGAAAAGCCAACAAAACAGTTATTTTTTTTTTCCTGAACTTTCAAAAGTTTCAAGAAGTTATGTTTTACGCAACACTAAGATTACCCATGATGCTTTAATTCAGTCACATTTTCATGACTTTTTGCTTTTGTTGATCTGTCCTTATGAAGAAAAAGGTCCAAACTGTGGAAGCTTGATATTTGTATTCCACTGCAATAATGCAGAAGTGGTTCTACCAACTCAGGGTAGACATCCATCTGGTCCACAGTTCTGCCTCTGCTGTGGCTAGAGAAGAGAGTAAAATCAGAAAGCCCAGCTAGATGTTTTGTAGTTGTCTCCCCAGACCTCAGCAATCAGAAAAGAGCACATAGAAAAAAAGCAAGAAAGAACACTCTCTCTGGGGTGAACTTTTTTAGCTCTCAGTTAGCGTATGAGCAGCATACCCAAATGTAACCTGTGTGGTTACTATACCCGCTTGTCTTATCTCATAAATTTAATCAGGAGTCTGAATTATCTACTCTACATCATGTAGCCTTTCACCATGCACTATCTTCTTCCTGGGTACAAGGAAATTACAGTCACTTTTAGTCCTTTTACTGCAATACTTATTCTAAGCTGTTCCCCCAAAATAGAGCACTTTCTCAGAGACCTCTATGTTTCTGTGCCAATAACAATCCTTCCCCAAAATCAGCCTCCTAACCTGCTTCCGCTTACGGGCCAGAACATTACCTGGAATAATTTCAGTGTTTCAGGTCTGTCCCTCAATGCATCTCTTACTCTCCCATTCTTCTCCAGCTTTCCACACTGCATTAGCTCCCTATGCAAGGAGATCCTTGGAAAGAAGACTAAATTAGGGGAAAATATTTCTCTTGTCCTTACCTCTCTTACGTGGCAAGCAAAGGCTAAAACCAAGGCTGGTGCTCTGACATAAGTCCCTGACTACCTATCAGAGCAGAGAGCACCAAAGAGCCTGGAGAAACATAGTAATTCAACATGAATAAAAACAGTGCATCAATTTACGTTGCCTAGGCTCATACAATTGAAAGTAATCCTCAGCATAAAAGTTTATCTTTAAAACCCTCATCACTCCTCACTCAACAGAAAATTTGAAAAGCAGGCCAGCTATCCCATTTTCTTCTATCTACTTGGCATTTTCCATTCAGAGGCGTAACAAAAAAAAACTTGCTCTTACTGGAAACATTAGAAGGTCCCAAAATCTCTGCTTCCACACTGCCACTGTCAGGGTCTGCAGCAGTGACATCATCCTCCTTAGCAAGAACAAGAGCATAAGCCCTCAATTGCACATTCTCTTTGATTTTTGTAGTTCCCAAGAAAGTTAGATTTTAGGTGCCTCTGGCCCATGATACAACCCAAGACAGGATACAGCATTAAAAGCAGTAACCCATCACCCCCATCACCCTTAGACAGCACAACTGGGGCAGGCTGCTGTGAGGGTAAGGCAGCATTGTCATTGCCTCTCCTTTACCCTACAACAACCACATTTGATTTTCCAAATCCAAAAGGAAGAGCTTACATATGACCAAGGGAGGCTGATTTAAAAAAAAATAAATAAAAAAAAATGCTGCTATTACCATTACATTTTCCAGCTGGCCATGATGCTGAATAGAAATGTCACAGCAAAATCTAGTTTTCCTGTAGCTAAGCAGTAAAGACACTTCAGCATCACAACCCAGAGCTGAAGACATGATTTTCCTGGAATGGAATATTTTGCTGATCTGGATATCTCGTCTGGGATAAGCTAGTTTCTGCTAATAAGAGACATCCCCAGAATGGGGCTAGTGACAGCACTGGGGTAGACTGGGAGATGAGGGTAAAAGCAGGGGAAAAATTCTCAGCTATTAAAAGCCGAGCTCTAATCTGATTCTTCTGTGTTTATGAAAAGAGCAAGTGAAAGCTGATGCACCCCCTAAGAAGGCAAGCACTGTCATCACTGACCTTACTGGGTGATTTGTGCATGGCCATTGCAACACGGCCTCCTTTGCTGCTCTCTGGCAGCAGAAAGACTATTCATCATCATCTGGTGGCTTTAGTGGAACAAGACGACACTCTCCTCTCTTTCCCCCACCATTCTCAGAAGCCAGGAGGTGCAGGCTCAGGAGCTGGCTTTGATCAGTACTGCAATGTACTGGATATAACTAGGTTCTGTTTACATCCCCTGTCCTTGAATGGATGTAATTTGAGCTGTGATCATTGGCTGGCTAATTATACCAAACAGATCGGGCTGGCCTGCAAAAAGGGTGTTTTGCTTTACTGACATCACGTGGAGAGACTGCTGCTTCTTCAATAACAATGGCCTGCAACTGTGGACCTGTGGTCCTCAGCCAGAGCAGAGGCCCTGTCTCCTCATTTGCGCTGACCTGACATTGCAAAGTAGGGAGCCAGATAAAGAGCATCTCCTTGCCCCCTCCCACCCCCTGCAAAGCCAGTGCCTCTACATCAGCAGGAGACCTTCAACATGCAGTGAGCAAGGCACAAGCAGGGCTGCAGTGGCTTTACAGCCAGCAATTCTTCCCTTACAGGACAATGATCTGATGGGGCGGGGGGGAAGGTGTCTGTCATCCAGACTATAAGTTAACACAAATCCATCCTGCAACAGCCAGATTCTTAGTTGATTGCCAAGGCTGAGGGCATAAAAAGGACAAAGTTTACATCTACTGTGCCCTGAGCAGAGTAATAAAGAACCAAGTCTATAGGATCACATATGCTTGCTGTGGCTTCAGTTACAAGATCTCCATAATATTGCCATACGTTTGGCTCTTGGCAGGCACCACTTGGTAAGTTTATCATAGCTCAGACAATGTTTAATGTCAGAAGCCTTGGGCATATGTGAGAATTCCTTTAAAGCCTTGTATGAGAGAATATAGAAGGTGAAAAATATATTTTCTTTTGAAAACAGTTTCCTACCTCCTTTCTTTAAAATAAAAAAAGAGGAAATTTTTTTCGAAAAATATATTTTCTTTTGAAAACAGTTTCCTACCTCCTTTCTTTAAAATTAAAAAAAAAAAAAGGATTTTTTTTTTATCACAGATTTTAGTAAGCACAATATTGATTAAGAATCATGTCATGTGTATATGTGAGGCAGACTACGACAGAGCAGGCAGAAAATAATGTTTACATTGTTCCATAGAAGTTGTTCATTTTCATCACTGGCATACAAATGGTAAAGATAATGAAGGGTAGCTGAGAACTTGACATAAAATAGCTATTAATTTGGAGTATTTGGGATCTCTAATTAGAGAGATTTCAACATGCACATTTGATGAGAGAGCTGTATAAAATTAATAGCAAGAGAAAATCCTCTGCATTTTGCTAATGGCACCAGACTGCTTGAAATATACAGGTCAGTTGTAACTGACGGGCTCTTATTTCTTTGAATACAACAAAATAAATCCCATGCATTTGTAAAATCTACGTTTCATAAAGTCAGAACAAATCAAAATGAGCCTTTGCTGTCCTCCATCAGCTTTTTCCTATCCAATACTTCTTTCTTTATCCTCCCTTCTTTCACAGATACGCTTTTTTTCTCCCTAAGAAATCTAAATTGAGAGCTTAAGATATCCTATATATTTGATTTTTTTAAAAAGTAATTGAAGTTTCAGGCAGTGAAGCCAAGGGTATAAACACATCTGAAGCTCATGACCAGTCTATTCTTTCAATATTAAAACCATATTTTTAAAGTCCTTCACATGACTAAGCTGTGAATCCAAAATCTTGTTATACACAGCCCTATACTTGAAGTAACAGAAGGATGCTGAGTGACACTTTCTATACAAGAATTCCATAAATCGCACTGTACAACACAGTTGTTATTCTTAGACAAACAGCAGGGCTTTTATTATAAAATACTTTAAAATGCATTGCAGTGACGAAGACAGAAACTCCTGTTCCTCATTATACCTTATTACTCATTCAACTGATATAGAAATACGCTTTCACAAATACTGGTGCTAAGTTTATTCAGAGGAATATTTTCACTCGTAGTCACACAAGCATCTTTCTCTTTCCAGTCCTTCTATTTCAGGCTGTGATTTACCAGAAAGTTCAGGGTAAACAGAAACATGACCAGCCCCAGCTCCAAATAAATCCCAGAATTTAAATGTCAATAGAGCCCTCTCCAGATTAATCCTCTCCAGAACCTGGTTGATAGGAAGTACATGTAAATTCACTGAATTCAGTGGAAATATCATTTTAGATGAGAACAGCCCCTCCAAGTACTAGGGTGGAGCTGTAAGCTAGTTCAAAAACAGAGCTCCTAAACCATTTTTTCCAATATGACATTGAATGGGATTATGCTCCTAAACCTGCACTTATGCTACATTGCACCTCATATAAAAGTTGTAGTAATTTACTGTTGCACAAAAGAAATGTAAAATGCTCATAAAACAGCTCTGCAAGGGAGGTTCAAGGCAACAAGGTTTTGAATAAAGAATGACATTCAGGCCTAAATAACATTCAGCAATTAAAACAGGTGTAGATTGTCCAGATATAGGGAAGACTTTAATACACAGGTATAGCACTGCTATAAATAAAATAATCAAAACAGAACATTCAAAGGCAATCCTCTCCACAAACAATTGTCTCCCTGGGGACAGTATGAGTTTAAATGAGCAAATAAAAAAATGCTACTCATGTGACACAAATCATGTTGCTTAAAGAACTTAGATATTCTGAATAACACAGTCCTCCAAGAGCCTGCCTAAATCAGACCCAAATCACTACCTCATGATCTGGCCAAAAAAACAAACAAACAAACAAAAAAAAACCCCACACATTGGAAAATTGAATTTTGAATTACTAGCATGTGAATATTTGCCACCAGCATGACACATCAGCATTAATTTATATTAATTGCAGCATTGTTTGAGACTCACACATGATAGAGAACATTTTATTCTGAAAATTGAGTGTTAGACTCAACATGAAATATATCATCCTGATTTTCTCTGAAAGAACAGTCAGGCGTTTTGTTAAATCAGAGTCTCTTACACTGAAAATTCTGCTACAATGATAAGTGGTATTTAAAAAAACAAAAAGAACAACAAACAAAGACCACCAAATGTACAACAACAACCACCAACAAAGAAACCCAAAACCTGACCAAAACACTAAAGCTAAACAAAGTACAGTCACTGAAGAGTCTTTTTGTAGGTGGAGCCTTAACTTAAATCTGACCACCTGAAGGTAAACTTAGTCTTATCACATGAAAATGCACTCATCTTCTACTTTAAATCTCATTATGATTAGACTGTAATTCTGCAGAAAGTCCCTAAACCCAAGAAAGGAAAAAGCCAAAGTGTACGCATGAAAGGTGTTAAGAAACTAGATGTTTCAAGGGCAGACTGAAAGCCTAGACTAAGAACAAGTAAATAGTAACACTTTAACTTAAGTAGCTTCATCCAAGTAGCCCTATATTTAGAGAATGTTCTAAGTTTTCAGGGAAGATGCGTTATATCGTGTAATGCTCTTCATTGTTCAATAAAGATGATACTGTATAAAGATGGCACCCAAGGGAATAATATCCAAAGATGTCAGACACTAGAGATTTGGAACACTGGCCGGTAAGCTGACCCTCATTAGATTCCCTCTCTCCGGTACTCCCAATTCTGAGAAACTGGTCAAAATGCATGTTTCAGAAATTGCATGAAGTTTTTATGTCCTCAGAGACAATGCTTTATTCACCTGCAGCTGATTTAAGACCTATTGATAGATAGATATTATAATACAGCTACCTCCACCAGAAGAGAAAGCAGAACTTTTTGAGGTAACTAATGAGAGTAGTTAGTTTTCCTGACCTCTCGTGCAGGTGTAACCGTCTTAATGGATTCACAGGCTGTGGCAGATTGGTCATAAACACTTAATCCCAGATTCCCTTATAATCACAAGGGGAAACATCTTCCCAGACTTACTGAAGAATTTACTAATGATACCAAAAAAAAAAAAAAAAAAAGAGAGGAAAATAGAATCATGCAATAGAGTGGTAACCCAAGCAATTGAGTGATAAGGCTGGTTATATGATAAGCAGCTATAAAAGCCCCTGGGGAGGGGAGTTATCTGCAGGAATTTGAGGGAGGGACAAAAGAAACATACAAAAAGGAAGAGGGAAAAAGGAAAAGCAACAGAACTTTTTTTTTTTTTAAAAAAAAAAAGAAAGCTGGAATACAGGATAGTGAATTTCCATAAGGACATAGTACGTGAAAAATCTGGCTTCCCTGAAGTTGTTTATAGGAGCAACTAAGGATCAAGTTCA